TGAATCCCTTCCCTTTCCGTTTCCGTGTTTATCAGTTGCTTTCGGAATAAACACGTGATGGCAACTTTGGTTAAATTAGAGAGTTTTTCACGCGTATTAAGGAAGTAGTTAGCGAATAGGCTCTTGGTTATGGAAAACCAAAACTCTAAGAGAAAATGAATGTTTCATCCGTATGCATACCTTGCCAGTAGTGTTACATGTTTAATGAATGAAAAATAAGTGTTACTTTACAAAATCGCGTTACGTTATCAAAATCTCTCTTTGCTTATTCTGAAACGAAAATAGACTGCCTGGAAGTACTGAGATTTATGTACAAGAATCTACGTGAAGAAATGTAGGAAAATTCAAACATTACATTAACTAAGTCATTGTTTACTCAACTGATTTTCCTGATAAAGTAGATGCCGATAAATGTTGAGAAAAGTTGTACATCTCTTGAGATGCACGACCGCTTACTTCCACGTCCTTTACAATTAATCACTCACTGTTTATCCTATCGTTTGAAACTATATTAATTGAGTAAATTAAAAGAGTTTAAAATAAATCAAGAATAAAGTAATAAAGGAAAGTTATAAGCTCTTAATATTAACATCAATGTTGGCCTTGTCCGTTGTAACGCTGAGTAAAATTTTAGACAGATATCAACGTTTATGAGGAACTTACTGACTTCATCTTCAGGGATGAGAAGTTAAAAATTCACACGAAATTACAACAAAGAAGACCAACAGCGGGCTCTCCATTGTTGAAAAACATAGATTATTAAAATTAATTTTTATATTTTCTATATTTGCTCTATATTAATACTTCAAACATAGCGTGATGAAGTCCGACATTATAAACACTAAGAAAAGTTGTGAAAAAATGTCTGTTATATAGGCCTATAAAATTTGTTATTAGGACACTTTATATTCTCCCCCCCCACCCAAAAAACAACTGAAAACTTCAAAATACACAATAAATACAGTAACACATAATGCAGAGGGAGGGGTAAATAATACATCGGATATTCACTATATTGAATGGAAGGAAGTCTTGGTTCATCAATTCAGATGAAAAGAACGGCATATCCGCTTACAAAATTATAAGATGGAGATGCATCTTAAATTTGTTACTTTTTAACAGTGTTTTATTATTCAAGTAAAATGTCTTAAGTAATCCCATATATTTATTATCAACATTTCCTCCCAAGACCAGAATTTCGTTATACCACGATTCATCTTTTATTGAACGACTCAAAGTTCTGAAACCACCGTTCACAGGCTGAACTCCGTGTAAGGGGTTTAAGCCTGTTAAACTTTACGGGTTGTGAGTCGAGGGAGACTTTTTATAGGACCTCAGGTGATGTGTTATGATGGCATTGTTCAAGAAACAGGTCACTAAATCCGCAAGTTAAACTCCGAAGAAGAGGCTCCATGGAATTCTAGTAGATAAAGTATCATTACCGTATTTATCAGATTCGTGATAAATACTCAGAGTGTAAGAGAAAACAGAACGCACTATTTCTTTATAGACGCCATAAAAGTTTATGATTCAACAAAGAGAGATGTAGGGCCTAATACACAATATTCTCGTTCAATGTGACATACCCGCTAAATTATCTGGATTAATTATAATGTCTCTAAACAAAACCTACAGTTAAATGTCTAATGGACTTCACATTCAGAACAGCCTAAAACATGCTTTACGACTTCGCATTAGAATATGACATCAGGAAGTCCCAAGAAAACAAAAATAGAATGAAGCTGGATGGAACACACCAGCTCTTGGTCTGCGCTGAAGATGTAAATTTATTTGGAGAAAACATAAATATCACAAAGACGAACGCGTATTTATTCCAGACGCCAGCAGAAAAGTTTATCAAACACAGAAAAAAGGTATATATTCAGATTTCGTGACCAAAATGCAGGGCAAAATTGTGATATACGTTACAATTAATAAATCATTAAAAAACGTGGCAATGTTCATACACACTTGGGAATTACAGTAACAAACATATGTAATCCGACCTGTGCAATGGGATGGATTACAAAAATTATTTAAATATAAATACAAGCAATTATATATGAAGTATAGGCGTCTAGGTTTTGATGACATTTCATTTATTTTTACTTCATGATCTGAAACCTAATTTTGTGTGTGTGTGCGCGCGCGCGCGTACGAGAGCGCTTTAACATGATGTAATAATGTTAAAAATGGGCTGCAGTCTTGTGATTGTTATAACAGGAAGAGAGGCAATATTTTCCAATTCTACCACTGAAAACACTATTGAGATGCAATTTCTGATAGGCACGATTGAACAAGCCTCACTAACGACTATATTCGCATTATGGGCAGACCTGTAGCCTTGGTGTAACTTCAAGTGAACGCTTTTGCTGACATACACTTGTACGTCATGGGTGATTCGTCCTGTTAAGTGTGGCACTAATCGCAAAAAGTTCCATCTTATGCTTGTCTCTATATAAATTTAATTTTTAAGCCGTACCTCTAAAGTCTCTCCTTAACCTCGAACGGTGACATTCATTAAGGCTTAAATTGTAGGATGTCTTCCCTAATTTTTTATTCGTAAACATACCTAGTGCCAATATTAAACTGGTCGATTAAACATAGGTCTATGTTAGTTTTATATTGACTAATACCGAGAAGTAGTCATCAGAATTAATCAGAACTACAATTAATTTAGAAACCTGTTTAATACAGGGAATTTCAGAACACTGAGGATACATTATTTTTGTCACCTCTTAGGAATAAGTATTGACGGTCACAAATGATTACAGTCTCAATAATAGGTATTACTTACATGGTTTTTATGTTTAGTAAAATTTATCTCTTTTTAAATAAATCTACTTGGTACTGGATATATTATTTTACGATTTTTGATAGTTTGTAGGCGTATTTTCTGGATTCTGGCATTTTTAATTCCAGTAAGTTATGCAGCCTCTAGTTGTGTAAATGAACTTAATGAAATCCTTCGCACTCCAAATTAACAAAATGATTTCCATCAATGAAAGCGATGGGGACGTCTAAACCCCCCCCCCCCCCCCG